ATACCTACAAGGTGCCAGGTCTACCACCATCTTCTCAGACCACAATCCTCTCCGCTTCTTACATCAAGCCCAATTCAATAACCAACGTCTTCTACGATGGGCTTTATATCTGCAAGATTTCAACCTGGAGATCCGCTATATCAAGGGTTCTGACAACATCATAGCCGACGCCCTCTCCAGAGGCTATGAAGTAGAAGCAACTCCAACTATCACTCCACCACATGAAGACGTAACTTCTTCCAGAACCGCAGGCTTTGGGGGAGAGTTGTGACGATAATATCTTTCAAGAGAGATTGAGCCTGCTCTTCCCTTCATAATTACGTCGTTCAAGTACAAGATACTATATAGAAGATACGTCCACCAGTATCGCCAAACGTTTTGCCCAGGAAGCAAATCGTACCATGCACACCCCGACACACCGGCTACAGCCCGCCGCAACCAGCAAACTGCTCATCCTCCGCCTGCCTGTTGCTGATTGGCTGGTGTCTCGCCGCACCTGCACTCACGCCACCACCAAGAGTCGACGTCTGGGCAGCAGCACGCCGTACTCGTCAGAATATCTCTGTGCTCCTTGGAGTTGACATCTCTCGCTAGTAGACTAAGCCTTGGCTTTCGTGTACTAAGGGAGGTGGTAGCTTGAAGCCAGTATTCCAGCACCTCACTTATTTGATTTATTTACCTTGCATTCTTGTCTTAGAGTAATTTTTCATTACCAGTAATTATTCATGTTGTTTTGTTTGTTGACCTGTTCTGAGTTTTATGAGATTGTCTTTATTCATGTCTTAATTTCTAGAGGAATTAAAATTTCATTGTTTATATACTTTGTGTTTGTGTGTCTTCCCATTACCTTACCACAGACGAAAGGACAAACTTCTCTTTTTTTTTTGTTATGTGACGAGGCCCTGCCCCCAGCTTTTGAAACAGCCGAACACCAACGCTTTACCATCACAGATCATATACAAGACCTATGATCATATATAAGACCTATGATCATATGCAAGACCTATGATCATACACAAGACCTATGATCATATGCAAGACCTAAGATCATATACAAGACCTATGATCATATGCAAGACCTATGATCATATACAAGACTTATGATCATATACAAGACCTATGATCATATACAAGACCTATGATCATATGCAAAACCTATGATCATATTCAAGAAATATGATCATATACAAGACCTATGGTTATATACAAGACCTATGATCATATACAAGACCTATGATCATATACAAGACCTATGATCATACACAAGACCTATGATCATATACAAGACCTATGATCATATACAAGACCTATGATCATATACAAGACCTATGATCATATACAAGACCTATGATCATATATAAGACCTATGATCATACAGAAGGCCTATGATCATATACAAGACCTATGATCATACACAAGACCTATGATCATATACAAGACCTATGATCATATACAAGACCTATGATCATATACAAGACCTACGGTCATATACAAGACCTATGATCATATATAAGACCTATGATCATACAGAAGGCCTATGATCATACACAAGACCTATGATCATATACAAGACCTATGATCATACACAAGACCTATGATCATATACAAGACCTATGATCATATACACGACTTAGGATCATACAGAAGACCTATTATCATACAGGAGCTCCACTGTACTCTGCACCAGATGGTCACTCTGAACGTACGTGATAATACTAGAGGTCAGCGGAGACAAAAGAGCTTCCTGACTATATGTCAGCTGTATAATCATAACAAAGCTGCTTGATTGTTCATGAACTCTACGATCTTGAAAGTTTCCGTGGTCATATTGAAGTTTCAGGACGTTTCCATAACTATACAGGAGCTCAATGACTATACAGGAGCTACATAACTATACAGAAGCTCCATAATTATACAGGAGCTCAATGACTATACAGGAGCTCCATAACTATAATGGAGCTCCATAACTATAATGGAGCTCCATAACTATACTGAAGCTCCAAGACTATACTGAAGCTCCAAGACTATACAGGAGCTCCATGACAATACAGGAGCTCCATGACTATTCAGGAGTTCCATGAGTATACAGGAGCTCCAAGATTATTCAGGAGCTCCAAGATTATTCAGGAGCTCCATGACAATACACGAGCTCCAAGACTATACAGGGGCTCCAAGATTATACAGGAGCTCCATAACTATACTGGAGCTCCATGACAATACAGAAGCTCCAAGACTATACAGGAGCTCCATGACAATACAGGAGCTCCATGACTATTCAGGAGTTCCATGAGTATACAGGAGCTCCAAGATTATTCAGGAGCTCCAAGATTATTCAGGAGCTCCATGACAATACACGAGCTCCAAGACTATACAGGGGCTCCAAGATTATACAGGAGCTCCATAACTATACTGGAGCTCCATGACAATACAGAAGCTCCAAGACTATACAGGAGCTCCATGACTATACAGGAGCTCCATGACTATACAGGAGCTCCAGGACAGCACAGGAGCTCCAAGACTATACAGGAGCTCCAAGACTATACAGAAGCTCCAAGACTATACAGGAGCTCCATCCCCAGAACAAGCAGACCAAGAGCGAGGCCGCACGCCAGCACAAGAAACATGCCCTGAAAGAGTGACATTGTATGAGAAGATAATATGAGATTTTTTTATTTCTCACTCTATATAGATTGTTTCATCTAGTCAAGTGGTACTTGAATCGGTCACTTAATTTTAGAATTTTACCTTTATGTTATTGATGGAGAGAGAAGTCTGGATGACAACTTTGGTGGGCAGGTTGGAACAGGAAGAAAAATTTGCGTGCAGTTGCTTTAGCCAGTGATTGTAGAGCCCAGCTTCATGTATCCTTAAGATCCTGGTATAAATAATATTTTTGAAAAGGAGAAAAGTTATATGATATTAGTTATTGACCATATTGCCACCAAGAATAATGTTAAGAATAATTCCCAACTTAATTTTCTGGTGTAATAATAGCGTCATGGCAATGATATCTCGTTATCTACGAGAGGAAATTTCCACTGCGTCACGTCTTCTCTGAGTGAATTTATTTATACAACCCAACAGCAATATTATATGCCTATTATATTGAATATTAGTAAATCGTGTCGGATTTTCCAACAACAGGGTACTAGCACCACCATTCACTATACCTTGCACACAATACAGCAATGTGGAGTATCAGCACCGTCTTTCATTATATCTAACACACAACGCAGCACCATGGAGTACCAGTATCATAATTCACTATGCCTTGCACACAACCCAGAACCGTTGAGTACCAGTTCCACTATTCACTATATCTTGGTCAACACAGCACTATGGAGTACCAGAAGTACCGTTCACCTTATCTTGCACCAGCACCACAGTTCTCTATATCTTACACACAACACAGCACCATGGAATACCAGCACCACTATTCACTATACATTGAACAAAATACAGCAATTTGGAGTACCAGGACCACCATTCCTTACATCTTGCACACAACACATCACCATGAAGTACTAGCATCACCATTCGCTATATCTTTGGCCAACAGCACCATGGAGTACCAGAAGTACCATTTATCTTACCTCGCACACAACACAGTGTAACATCAGCTTAGTCCACCACTGCTACTACTGTAACCTACCAATGGATCATCACTGCAGCCATTAACCTAAATAATTAACAGTGCCCTAATTAATGGGGGCATGATCTAATTGACCAAGGAGAAAAGGAGTCAATTAAACATATCCTAAGCAGGAAGATTCAGATTGAATTACTGGAACGGATGTGTGGAGTTAGTTTTAATTGCTTACTGAAGACAAGGGGAAATATTGAAAGAGAGGTACAGGAAGATCTCAGGAAATGTGCCTCAGATCGGGACACTATGTCTCAGACTAAATTAAGGGAAAAATATGAAATGCACAAAACACTTAAATGTGTTTATTAATTAAACAATGGCATTTAAATACATCTTAGTCTAGATTATTGTTATCTTTGAGGCAATGGTGGTGGATACACCAATTATACATACCTCACAGGGCACATTACCGTTTTTCTTGTATTGTCCGGCCAGATGGTGGGGCTCTCTCATGGGTGTGGTCCACCTTTCTCCAGATAATACCCCAATCACACTGAAACTAACCTGGTCTCTCTGCTTCAAAGAAGGCCATGGCCCCACCCACTAACTTGTGTATCTACGAAACTCTGCCTATGTTTAGGTTTATCCAGTCATTTCAAACCAAGGCTCTGCCCCTGGCATGCGGCCAATGAGTGCCAGGTAGTACCCTCGGAAGCTCCGCTTCTTAGGCCTACTCCAATCACTCGAACCCCAGGCATGGTACTCAGGCACCATAAACCAATGAAAACAAAGCTCTCGCTCTTGTCAATGAAACATTTGAAGACTGCCAGGAGGAGGGTTTTTTTTCACGGAAACTGGAAATCAGCTGGTACAAACCAGATGTATGAAAACAGGCCTATCCTTTGTGATCAACCGCCCTAGAGGGAAACTTGAGAATCAATGTTATGACACCCGACAATAATGGATTGCCTAGATGACCCGGGGAAAGTGGACGGGAAGACGATAGAGGGCAAAGAAGAGGGAAAGAGAGAAGGAACCCAAGAAGGCACTTGAGATTTAAAGATTAATGAGACTTTAGGTAGTGTGTCATTTGCCTCCATCCTATGCAGGAGAAATTGGAGAGGGGGGAGGAGAGAAAGTGGGGAAGAGAGAGGAGGGGAGGAGAGAAAGTGGGGAAGAGAGAGGAGGGGAGGAAGGGACGTGAAGGGAGAAAACAGGAAAGCGAAGGTCTGCTTTCAGTTGACCGTTACAACAGCACCATGGAGTACCAGCACCACCATTCACTATATCTTGCACAACACAACATTATGGAGTACCAGCACCACCATTCACTATATCTTGCACAACACAACATCATGGAGTACCAGCACCACCATTCACTATATCTTGCACAACACAACATCATGAAGTAGCAGCATCACTATTCACTATATCTTGTACAACACAACATCATGGAGTACCAGCACCACCATTCACTATATCTTGCACAACACAACATTATGGAGTACCAGCACCACCATTCACTATATCTTGCACAACACAACATCATGAAGTAGCAGCATCACTATTCACTATATCTTGTACAACACAACATCATGGAGTACCAGCACCACCATTCACTATATCTTGCACAACACAACATCATGGAGTACCAGCACCACCATTCACTATATCTTGCACAACACAACATCATGGAGTACCAGCACCACCATTCACTATATCTGCCGCAACACAACATCATGGAGTAACAGCATCACCATTCACTATATCTTGCACAACACAACATCATGGAGTACCAGCACCACCATTCACTATATCTGCCGCAACACAACATCATGGAGTACCAGCATCACCATTCACTATATCTTGCACAACACAACATCATGGAGTACCAGCATCACCATTCACTATATCTGCCGCAACACACCATCATGGAATATAATGATGACAGGTCTGGTTCTTCCCAGAAGAAAACTCCAGGTACCAGCACAGGACAGCCTCCCACGTCCTGGTGATGGGGACCCCACGTGCTTGTTTTAACCGTGGAAGGCGTGGACACGTGCGGGCAGACTGCCCTGGTTTGTCAAAGAAAGGTTGAGATGTTGTCACGCCTATTGTTGGCAGACCCACTTTCAATATGAAGGTTGATGGTTTAAGTTTGACGGCGTTTGTGGACACCGGAAGTCAGGCAACCTTAATTAAGAATTCAAGCTTCAGCAAATTGAAACATGCATGCCTCAAGTGTTGTGAGAAAAATTTAACAGCAGTTAATGGGCAGCTCATTGACATCTTGGGCCAAGGCACCATTAACTTTGAAAATGGTATGAGGAATCAAGACTTTCCCCCACCCCCACCCTATACATGCACGGTTGTCGATAATCTTGCATTCCTTCGGGATATTTTATTGGGAATGGGCTTCCTGGGCAGATTTATTTACTCTGCTTAAAAGGGGACAGGAAATTGAAGATTGCGGTTGGGTCAAGTGTCGTATCCTATTAAAATGATAGACCATCCCCCAGTGGTGGCTTCAATTAAAAGGAAACCAAAATATAACATTCATTACCCCAAACTGCAATTTAAGGCCTTCCGAACATAAGTAAGAAGACATGTGTGTTACAGCATTGACTAAACAAAGCTGCCCACCACGTTCAGTCAAGTTTATTAAAGTAGTCACAGGACGTCACATTACACCAAGTGCAACCCTTCAGGTGGCTGATTGGTTTGACAGATTAGTAATCCCTCATCATATTATTGTTTTGCTTGACAAAGGTGCCCTCATTCCAGTCGTTGTTACGAATCCATGTCAGAGTATAGATTCTCACAGGATAAATAATGTGTATTATATAAGTATATATATGTGTTGGCTCTTAAATTGTATTAAGATAGGATGTGGCAACATAATTGGGGTCTTGGCTTGTTTGTGGGGGGACAGGAAATGTTCCTGTCTGATACCTGTGAAGAGACAGGAAGATTATTGATCGGCTGTTGGGTTGCCAGATATCGCCTCCTTTTAATAGTAAATCTCTTAGTTCATATTAGTAAGAATGTTTATAATTTTATTTATATTAACTGCATGTATGATATATTATTTTAGTATGATTGTGTACGTTTGGGAATGGTTATTTTCAGTTGTAATGTGGATAACTGGAGAATGTATCTGCTTTGTGGTAACCGGAGGAACTGCCAGGCAGCGCTTGATGCAGCCCAGAGCAGTCAGTAGCTGATGAGCGGTTGAACTGATAACATATATTCTACTTTTAAGTTAAGTCTTGTAATGGTTCTTTTTTCTAGTGTTGGTGATATTTTTATCTGAGATTAATGAGATTTATCTGAGACATTAATTATATAAGCAATACTTCAATTAGGAATATAATTGTGTAATACTGTTTACTGAAGAATTTATATATATTTTTCTTTTATTTATATGTGTTTTTCTTTATCCATTAGTGTTTGTATCTACATGGTTGTATTCTGGTATATCAATTACCTGCATGAGACTGTCCCCCATAGATAATTTCCCCGTGCTGACCGATATACGAGCTTTGCTGTACTATATAGGTAACAATTATGGGGGCCTATGTCCAGGGAGGTGTTCCCACATTATAATTACTGCTTATTAATTTAATCATGGTACTTATAACTTGTATTAATTGTAAATGCCTTCCTAGGTAATGTGTGAAGTTAAAGGTTGTCATGCCACGTCGGTGCTGCTCTGTGCTACTGCTCTGCCTGTGTTGACCACTACGCTTCACGATTGAGGTAAGTGTTGTTGCTTGTGCAGGGCCAAGAAGGTGCTCAGTATTGTTGTAATTTTAAAATTTGTGAGTAAAGTGTTAATAAATTTAAAGTGATTAATTAAGGAAAATCAATTGGAATTGTTGCTGTCAGAGCCAAACTTTGTAGAGATTAAAAGCCTGACAGCTAAAAATAAATTGTTTTAATAAGAAAAATAAAATTGAAAAAGATTAAAAGCCCAACAGTTAACCCACATATCCCCCGCTTCCCAACCAATCACTCGCAACCTTTCCTCACACGGGCTAC